AGATATTGTTATTCAAAAATACTAAACTGATTTCATCTTTTGTCCGGTGCAGATTGGAGCCGTCTCTGATGATGAATTAGTGGAGTTACTACATCTGGCATTGTCATCTGATACTTGTAATACAGTGAAAAGAGCCAGAGAGCTCATGAGATCGCGGATAGATCCCATGCAATTGATATCACAGTTGGCAAATCTCATAATGGATATTCTTGCTGGAAAGAGGGTTCTTGGTGGACGCTTTTGTATGTCTCTAATTCTCATCACTATTCATTCTGTTGCACTCTGATACTATGATTCTATGAATTGATGTTCCACGTGTACGAGAGGTGAAAAGCTTTTAGTGATATTTATCTTTACATCACAGAATGTTTTTTTGGAAATGGCATTCAGTGGGACGAAGTTAGGGGTGAAAGAAGGGGGTGGGGTATAAAATGACAATTCTATCCATGGTCTTAATGCCAATTGGAAGTAAAATGTAGTGGAGGACTTAATTCTTAGGATTTGAAGTGGTCGATTTTAAGGTTGATAATGGTGATGTCACAATACTCTGACGACTAATTGTGGCATTAACTCTATTAGGAAGCTATTAGCCACTTTTTGTTACTTCATAGGACATAGTTTCTCCTTTGGTATTAACTTATTTTAGACTAATTCCAATTATGGCCTCTTGAGTATATTAGTACTTCCACTTTTTTGCTTGTCTTGCGAAATGGACAGTGTTGGACAATGTTGGGTTCTCTCTATAAATTCTCTGTTAAAATTGGATGAAAAAGAAACAAGTATAATCCTTGGGGGCATTTTTGTCATCCATTTCTTAATTCCCTTTGATCTATCATTTGGCTCACTCCTTTGTAGGAGAAAAGTGCTATTGTTTGAATAAAAGAAAATATTATATTTTATTTCTTACTTTTGACTTTTATGTATAACCTTTTGCTATAGCCTATAGGGAAGAAGACAGCAGGAGAAATATTTAAGGAATTGAATGGTAAAAAATGCCAACAAGTAGTTCCATTTTAGGTATTGTTTTAAACCAAAAAAGTGCCATATCGCAGCGGGGAGGGGGGATTGGCCTGCCCTTCCTGGTTTTATTAATGAAATTGATACGAATCATGAGGAAACATAAGAGTATAAGACCTGACCTCCTTTCGTGTTTGCAAAAATTATCCAAAAAAAAAAAAAGATTTAAGGAAAATTCCATAGTTTCAAGATACAATAAATTCTGTGTGTTTAAATAAGGAAGCTGTTTGATCTAGTGTTAGTTTTACTCTTTTTTGTTTGCTTTGTTCTTTTTCTTATGAGACTGCATTTTTCACTTTGGTTTTCCACCCTGATCGCCACAGCTGAAGCTAGCACACAGCAACTAAGTCATGCCCTGAAAATACTTTCTGAAACGGAGAAACAATTGAGGATGTCAAAGAGTCAGACCACTTGGCTGACTGCTGCTCTTCTGCAGCTAAGCTCCGTGGGTTCTTCAATGGATCCCAATGAAGCAAGGTTATGCAGTAGAACAGAATACCCACAAGGTGAATATGATTGAATAAACATAGAATGCTTCTTTATGCTTTGTTTACAGAACAAAGCAGACCATTATCTTCAACCAATTAATTAAAGTGATTTCTTAATCCAATTTTGTCAGATTTAGATGGTAATTTTTGCAGCACATCCTCAACTGGTGAGAGTTTGAAGCACGTTGCAAATTGTGCATGTGAGAGCAGTGAATCCTGTCAAGTGAGGATGCAGAATGATGAAGAAACTTTGACATCCATATGGAGTAAAGCTATTGCAAAGTGTGAATCCCATTCATTAAAAAACTTTTTGCAGAGACGGGGAATTTTGTCATCAATTTGTCTTAAGCAAGGTGGGCTTTTATTGTACCCAATTTTGAACATGTTTGATATCTCGTGTTCTTTGACACATGATATTTGAACGATTCTTCTCATCGTATCACATCGTCAAAGTGCTTTTCCCAATCTAACCTCATAGTTCTATGGCCTCATTTAGTTTTTTGGTTTTCTTTTTATTGTTACTGTAACTTGATAATGTCATGCTTGTGCAACATACTTGAGAGTTGTCGGTATAGTTTTACAGTGAATTATATTTTGTGACTGTTAAATAGGATGCTGATAAGGATATCCTTGTGGATTGGTTATGTCCTCTTTCATTCAAGTAAAAACTAAGACATTTTAGTGTTTCTATTTTTTGGGGTGACGAGGGAAATCCGCAACCACTACTTGAGGGTGTGCACTGGGTAAATCCCGCCTTGTGATCCTAACCGGCAAAGGACCACAAGGAGGTAAACCAGCCTAGGTTGCCCATAGCTGACCGGTTCAAACCAAGAAGGCTGGGATTTGAACTCGTGACCTTGTGGTTACAAGTTTGTAATTTTGTATCCTTAGCCATCTTAGATGGGGTTACCCCCCATTTTAGTGTTTCTATTGATATTAAGAAGTGTGGTCGAGCGGCATAGCTGTGGCCCCTCAAATGAGAGGTCTTAGGTTCAAACCCTAGAGATACTACTTTTTAATGGAATTTGTGAAATCACCAAGTGCTCACCCGTTGACCGTTAGGTCATGAATTTGAGTGCTAGAACAAATCTTTCTTAGAATGTAAAGGTTCTGCATGTCTTCCTTTCCCAAACCCAGCTATGTGTGAGACCTTGCACTTATAGTATGCCTGAGTTGAATTGGCATTAAGAAACACATATTTGTTCTTTTTCCCTTTCCCATCTGCTTTGGATATTTAACAAAATGCTTTATTGATGCTCCTCTGTCTTGCATTCAGGTTTAGCGGTTGCTGAACTGAAGTTTTCTCACCCTGATTATGTATCGAAGGCTGAGAAATCATGGAAGTCGATAGCAAATGCACTTCAGCAGACACTTTGTTGCAATGTAGAGATAAGAATCAATCTCATGAATGGTGCTTTTCCAAGAAAGCATGCGAGAGTGAACAAGCTGTCTTTTAGCCTGTTCGGTTGTTCACGTAAGAAGAACCACAAATCAGAAATTTCTGAATCTGGAAGTGATCCATCAGAGGTCTCTGATTTTGCTTCTAAAAGAATTATTAAAATGGATAAAGTGAATGACGCATGTTCTTCTGAGTGTGTTTCTCAAACTCAACAGAAAGCAACAGTAAGAACTATAAGAAACAATGACGGAAATGCTCTAACCATTGGAATGGTAAATGCGGACTGGACAGACAGCATGCAATTGCAGCACTGCTTAGAAGGCGATTGCTTTAACAAGGGAAGTAATCGTGGGTGCAAAGATTTTCTTGCATTGGAGCCAGAAAAAAATCATGGCTGCTTTCCAAGTGTGAAGCATCTAAAGAGATCATACTCATCGAATGAATCTCGTTCGATTTGTCCCTTGGGTCAGCAATCAGGCAATTGGGCTTTATCGATCCCTAACAAAACTTCTGAAACACACTTCTGTGCCAGTGATCCTCACATCACTTGCAGCAGGCCAATTAACTGCTGCTCAGGAAATATAGAGATGTAAGTTTTTTCTTCTGTCCTAAAATTATCACAATATTATTTTAGTATTGGATTTGTACTTGGTGTGATTATTGTTTTTCATTATAAACTTTTCATGTCATAATAAGTGTTAGGATCAAGCATTTACCACGCCAACAACTATAGTTAGTAGCGAAAGCGCAACTTTATTTCCTTTTATGCCTCCACATTTTCAAGAGGCAGGGTTTCTGGACTTGACCCTTCACCGGCCTCCACCCAATAATCCCCTCCCTAGCCGCCAATTGCTGGACTTGGCCCGTTACAGGCCTCTGCCCAATAATTCCCTCTCCCAACACCTGCCACTCTAAACTGTTCTTGCTGGTATTCGAACCTGTAACCAATTGCTGGACTTGGCCCTTCACCGGCCTCCGCCCATTTGCCCAACAATAAGGAAATTGTCTATAGATCATTTTTCATATCATAACACGAGCTTCTCTGGGCACACTTTTGCCACTGATTTTTGCATTATTGATGATGTCGTTTATTGCTAGTAGTGCTAGTACCTTCCTCCTCGTAAATTCCCATGTCCACATTAGATGTTAACCTGTGCCTCTCTCTATTCTATTCAGCAGTTCTAGGTCATCAAAGTTTCACTGCTGGAGGACTGTTGTTTCACCTTTCAAGAAGGTAATTGTGGTTTCCACGCACAACATATCTTCTTAGTTCTTACCGAACCAGCAACTTTTATATATAGTTAACGTGTCTATCTTTGACTTAAAGAATACTTGAGATATGAAGTGATGGCGTGTAAATATGCAGGCTTTGAGATTGAAGCGTCAACCCGAAAACTCACATATGCAGTTGGTCATGCCTTGCGCCCCCGCAACATGAACTGCAGTCTACAGGCTATTGGAGATTCATATTTAACATACTTTAATTTGTAAGTATATAATTTGCTTGAATGAAGCTTAGAGGAGTCTGAAAGAAAGTTGATGAAATGAGATTTGTATACATGAAGCCCTCTCAGAACATATGGAAGGGAAAATGGGTAACTAATGAAATTGTGCAATGAATATGGTTCTTTTGCTTCAATTCTCCTTTGTTGGTAATATGAATTATTTGGCCAAACATGGTTCTTAGGAGGCATGGTTTTAGGTATTTGAGGAATTCAAGTTCCTTTGATTTTTTTTTTTTCATGAACCAAACAAAGCATAATTCTATTTTCCTCCACTTTTAGGAATTCTAGTTCCTTGAAAAATATTTATGTGCTTTTTTCTGTTTATAGGGTGTGTTTCGTTCATAGGTTTAGCTATTAGGAATGAGAATCAAAGTCATTGTTATTGTTTGGTTGACATGTTTTTAGAACATTACTATGAGATTTGATTACCCCTTTAATTAGAAAACTCATCCTTTAATAAAATAAAGGTTTCATTTCATTATTCTTTCTCATAATTGGTAATTTGATTTTTAAGTTTGGATTAGTACTTTTAGATTTTTTTTAATTTTATTTTGTTCATATTGGTTCTTTGGATGTCTTGATTTTTTGTTCTTGTATGTTTAAAACCTTTATTCTCATTATAGGATCATACATAACGAAACAACAATATTGGTAATTATTCCAATTCCACCTTACTAATATTTTTACCAAAATCTATTATCATTACTAAGTATTTGATTCTCATGTGTGAACCCACCTCATGTGTGGGTAAACTTAACAAGGAACAAACTAATTTAAGTTATAAGAGAGAACACATGGTGTGTTTGGTTCATGGGTTTAAACATTAGGAATGAGAATCAAAATTATAGTTAGTGTTTGGTTGACAACTTTTTAAACACAACTATGAGATTTGATTACCCCTTCAATTAAAAACTTAATTCTCTATTTAAAAATGTATCATTCTATCTTATTTGTAATATGATTTTTAATTTTGAATTAGTGTTTTTAGATTTTTGTTTAGATTTTCTTTTTTTTTTTTTGTTTATATTGGTGTTTTGGATATCATTATATTAGGATCAATCTTGATTTTTTATTTTTGTATTTTTAAAATCTTTATTCTATTATAGGACCATACATAACTAAATATCAATATTAGTAATCAATCCAATTTCACCATACTATCAAACATGAAAAATACTTTGACCAAAACCCATACCATTATTAAATATTTAATATTTTAATTCACATTCTGATTTCGATTTCTATGTGCAAACCAAACACAACCACACTGATTAAAGAAAAACAACAAAGAAGATAAAATTTCCAATAATGTCAAGTAACAATGACAATATATTATCTTTAGAATGTCAGGAAGGGATGGAGTTTTAGCAAACACAAATAGGATTTATTAGAAAAATTAGTACATACTTCTCCATCTAACAGAAAGTGAAGGAAACACACAAATCTTCAAAGTTCAAACCAACTACTCCATCAATATTCTTCAATTTTGTGCTGCAATTTGCACATGATCCATCTGTGCAAGTATGTCAAAGATGAGGCAAAATTTTTATTAGTAAATACTATGTAAAAATGAAATAATACATGAATAAAGTAATCATACCGTCACTAATTCATAAAATCAGCATTTGTCCATAACTCTTCGGTGTGCTCTCATTAAATAAATTTTCATTTTCACGTACATCCCATCTTTGACATCATTGAGGAACCCATAATAAACTAATCTCCATTTATCACTGAGCACCAATGAGACCACAAGTCCCCAAAAGCTGACAGAGAACCCAATCACCACAGATATGTAAAATTCCCGATCTACAAGACTCTCATCTCCTTCTTGATAGTCATTATTTTTGCCATGTTGAGGAACATCTGTGGAACACTTGGGAAGTGGGTCCCCACATAAGCCGCTATTTTCAGCATAGGATGAAGCATTGAAAGTTTGTAGTTGAGTGCCCTTGGGAATTTTACCGGACAAGAAGTTGTTTGATAGGTCAAGAACCCCAAGAAAATTCAATAGCGCAAGACCAGTTGGAATTTCACCTGAGAGTTGATTCCTGGATAGATCAAGGGATTCTAACTTTTCCATCTCATAAATTGATGGAAATATTTTACCAGTCAAATGGTTTCTTGAAAGGTTCAGGGAGAGTAATTCCCTGAGAGCATAAAGTTCTTTTGGGATATCTCCAATCAATTGATTGCTTGAAAGATCAATGCAATACAAGAATCCTAATTGCTTGTCGTACTTTGAGTCCTTGTTTTTCCATTGAACAAAAACATTGTCCATGTAGAAGCGAGGATAATCATTATCTCCCGTGATAGTAAAGTAGGAGATTTCAATGCTTCCAATGGGAGTACTCTGAATCAGAGTAGTAAAATTGTTAAAGCAGCGCGGGATTCTCCCTGTCACCTTGTTTTGAGAGAGATCCAAGAGGTGGACATTCCTAAGGTGACACAAACTTTTAGGCATGCTTCCATTAAAGTTGTTATTGCGCAGGCTAATAATGGTCAAATTAGTTAGATGGCTTCCTATCCATGATGGGATTGTACCAGTAAACTTATTTCCTCCGAGATCCATAATTCTCAAGGATGTACAATTTTGAAATGAGGAAGGCAATTCCCCATTGAAGTAGTTGTTACGCAAATGCAATGATTGAAGCTGAGGCAGGGAGCCTAAAGAGTGCGGAACTTCTCCAAAGAAATCATTATTCGCCAAATTAATAATGGCCAGATTTGAAATGTTGCTATTCCAACAATCAGGAACCTTACCAGAGAAATGATTATACGAAAGGTCAATACATAAAGTATTCTGGGTAATAATTGAGCACAAGAAAGAAATTGACCCAACAAAGTTATTATTCGAGAGATTAAGTATTAAAAAATCTCCAACGAATGTGGATATGGGACCCCAAAATTTGTTGTAGCTAAGATCTATGAGTGAAAAAGGAGAAAGCTTGTTGGATAAATCAGGCAATTTCCCATCAATGTTGTTGTGAGATAAATTCAAGTATCTAAGTTTGGGGGAGATGATGAGGTCCCAAAACCAATTGGGTATTGTATCAGAAATATTAGCAGAGGAGAGATCAAGCTCTGAAAACCAACTTTGATTTCTCAGCCAATTTGGGAATTTAGGCCCAACTTTACAATTTCCTATCACCATAGAGTTTAAGGTATGAAAAGGAGGAACCCAATCATCACTGAAGTTGAATGACAATCCTGGGTTTAGAGATAAATCCATCTTTTGGATGCTGGTAAGGTTCCTAAAGTGGGCTTCACTAATAACTCCTCCCAAAAAGTTGGACCTTAAATTCAATACTTGAAGCTTTGATAGCTTCCCTATGGTCTCTGATAACCCCCCTTGTATTAGATTCCCACTCAGATTCAACACTCTCAATGACAAAAAATCTGATAAATCTGGAAATGGCCCTGTGATCAGATTGAAGGATAAATCTAGTTTCACAAGATTACTTGCTTTTCCAAAACCTTTGGTGTGGTCTTGAAACACACTACCAAAATTGTTAATGGCTAAATCTAATTGCTCAAGGCTTGAAGGCAATAGAGGTGGCAAATACCCAGTCACCAGGTTTTGCCTTGCATGCAATTCTCTCAAGGATTCAAATCTAGTGCTCATATTTGCAGGGAGTGTGCCAGTTAGTTCATTCCCAGACAACCCCAAAACCTGTAATGACTTCCCAGCTGCACCCCTTGCCAACTTCTCAAGAAGCTCACCAATGGTTTCATTTAGTCCATTATAAGATAATGAGAGAACTCTTAGATTTGTGAGGTTCCCAAGATGGGGAGGAATAGCACCAGCAAAGTTGGCATTATGGAGATTCAAAACTCTTAATCTTTGGAAGGACCCAATGAATTCCGGGACTGAACTCCATTGGAATTCATTGTAACTTAGGTCTAGATAACTCAAATGCTCGAGTTTAAGCAGAGATGAACTAACCTTGGGAGCACTCAGGTAGTGATGGGTACTTGAATTGCCATGGAGATCGAGACTAATAACGTGGCCCGTGGCGTTGTTACAGCGAACACCCCACCATTTGCAGCACTCTTTATGAGTTCCCCAAGAAGACAGCATGCCATTGTCTTCCATAATGCTTTGCTTGAAAGCCAGAAGTGCTTGCCTCTCGGTTTCAATACAGCTTATAATGTTTTGGGCACCAACTCCTTTTGTGAAAGGAGAAGGAGACGACAAGTGCAGAAATGTTATTACAAGGCCAAGCATTATTCTGATATGCATTTTTGAGACCATTATATTATATTATATGAAGATTTAGTTTGTTGCATTGTGCTGATGAACAAACTAAACTCTAATATATATATATATATACTCCATGAAAATACTTTCTCTAGCTTAGCATGCAGATTTCAAGTGTCAACTTAATTGTGCGTGGGGGCAGGCATTCAAAGAACACTGAATCTTGACTCTTGAATCTTAATTCAATCTAGAATCTTGAATAGACTGAGTCATGACTCTTGAATCATCTTGCAACTTGTCCAATGTAGGATTTAAATCAAATGCTAGTGTGCAAGAGATTTGTTCACTCCGTCAGAGCATTTTTTGCGAGAGATCTGTCCACTTTGGACATATCCTTACATTGTCACTGCCAAGATTCGAACCTACCTTGATTTCTTCTCCAGCTGAATCAGTGAGTTAACCCGTGCTGTGCGGGCGCAACTTGTCCAAGTTGTACATATCTTTGGGTGTTTTTTGGTCACTCTTACAAAACTGGAAATGGAAGGATGTACTGTGATATCAAATTAAAAAATATATTGTGTTTCAAACTTTCAATTAATAAAAGTGTTAAACTAATAATGAGAGTGCAAATTTATTATTTATACTAGTAAAATATGACATATTATGTGATTAATAAATTTCTAATAAAAATCAAGTAAAACTATAAAGATAAAAAGTAATTTTCATTTCTCGGTTAATGACAAAATGTTGGAAAATATTATTTGAAAAGTTGGTTTAATTTAACCTGCAAGACCATTATATTAGTTGTATTTCATTAATAAACTTAAATTTGAAAGCGAAACTTTATTACCAAGGTATGTATACAGAAAATAAAAAATGATATTTTCAACGATAAAAAAATATTTAATGTGATACATAATGATTGATTGTCTATTGAACTTTTAGTATGATTATATATATATATATATATATATATATATATATATATATATATATATATATATATATATATGGAAGCGTTCAGGTGCGGATATAGCTTCCGGTGCGGTTGTGCAGTTAGATCTGAGTCGTTGATCAAATTTAGATCAACGGCTCAAATCAATGAAAATTAAAAAAAAAAAAAAAACTCGCGCGTGTCTGGAAGAAAGAAGCATAAGCTAAAAATGGTCCACCTTAAGTGGTAGATCTTAAGCACAAACTCACGCACATTAAGTACAAAACCCACGCACAGTAAGCACAACCTCACGCACATTAAGCACAAAACCCACGCACTTTAAGTATTAACTCACAGACCTTAAGTTTCAACAACTACTGACATTAATCACTAACCTCACACACATTAAGCACAAACCCTATGCATATTAAGCACAAACTTCACTCACATTAAGAACAAATCTCACGCACCTTAAGCACAAAAGTCCACACTTTAAGTTTTAACAACTACTCACGTTAAGCACAACCCTACGCACATTAAGCACAAAACTCACGCACATTACGCACAAACCTCACGCATCTTATATACAAAACTCACGCACATTAATCTCAGATCCGCTCACCTTAATTTTGACCTAGATGCAAAAATTACAAAATTGCCACCGCATTTTTTTTTTTTTTTAAATTTTGGCAATCCTGGACGTTGATTTAAGCGAGATGAATGGCCAAGATTAAACCTCACAACCGCACCTGGGCACCCTAACCGCACCAGAACCTAATTATATATATATATATATATATATATATATATATATATATATATATATATATATATATGTATATATATATATATATATATATATATATATATATATATATATATATATAGAGAGAGAGAGAGAGAGAGAGAGAGAGGTGAGTTCAGGTGCGGCAGTGTCTTACGGTGCGGCAACACCAATAGTTTAACAAATATGCACCATCAACGTTAGGAAAATACACCACACAAAACAGAGTAAACAGAGCCCTGCATCACCAAACACACCATTAGGTGTGAGTAAAAACACCATACACTATTCGGAAATACATCATTGGGTGTGGTGAGTTATATGGTGTATTATTTTTGAGTCTGTTGTGTATTTTGTGATGTTTTATTGCATTTTATTGTGGTGTGTTTTTATTACACTGTTGGTGTATTCTGGAGTTTCGCCGCACCGCCGCATGAGAAGACCCCGCCGCATATGAGCGCTCTTATATATATATATATATATATATATATATATATATATATATATATATATATATATATATATATATATATATATATATATATATATATATATATGAGTATTTATGAAATTTACGGAACTTATTGTAAAACTTGATAAGAATAGAGGAAAAATTTGTATATTTAGACAGAGGAAAAATGTCTATATAAAAAGTTAAAAACAAAAAAAAAAAAAAATTGAGGTTGGGTTGTGGGATTTTAACTATTTACATGTGTGAAAAAATCTACAACAATTCAAATCTGATAGAGTCTAAAAATGAAAATATACACAATGAAATTTAAAAAAAAAACGAATTTTTCTCAAAATGGTCCCTCGACTATTTCTCAATGTATATTACAATAGGTAAACGCACGAAAATGTCCTCCATTTTAACACTGAGTTGACAGAAAACTTAACAGAGGATCAAATTGGGTGAGTTTTGGAAATTGAGGGACTAGATTTGGTGCAATTGAAAATCGAAATATAAAATTGAAAATGAACAATAGTTGAAGGACTATTTTGGGAAAAAACTCTAAATTGTAAAGACTATAAAGTAAATATAACTCATGACTTCATTACAAGTTATTAAATTTAATAGTGTTATTTGATGCATGTCATTAGTAACTTAGAGGGTAAAAAAAAGGTTTAAGCCTTACTATACTAGTCTTTTTCTACGTGCAATTTGCAAAACAGATGCCCAATATTTATATTTTAAAAAATAATCAATAAATTCTTACTAATTTTTTTATTAATTAAAATCTATATGAAATCAAATTTATTTATTATATATTGTGGATGCATGTGCATGGTAATAGTAATGAATAAGATAATGAAAGTTATAACGGTAGATGTATTTTTGTCCAAAAAATTATATAGTACAACTCTAAAACACAATATACAAAATGATTAACCCTAAAAAGTAAAAACATAAACATAAATTAGAGATATAACTTTAATTGAGACTTATTATGTTTTTAGATTATAAAACCTTCAGTTTAGTTTATATATTATAAAATTGGTCTATTTAGTCACTGTATTCTTAAAAATAGAACAATTAAGTAAACTTGTTAATTATCCTAAAAAAAGAAGTAAACTTGTTAAAAATAATGTTTACTATATAAATGGAGGAGGAATAATGTTAAAAATTTATATAGTAAATGGTTGAATAATTTTCAAAAAAAAAAAATGGTTGAATAATGTTGAAAATTTATATAGTAAATTGAATATATTAATTCAGACATGTCTATCGGAAGCATAAATAATATTTTGGTATTTTGGAGTTGAAAATATTATTTATGCTCAGTAAGAATTTTATTATTTGATTGATAAAAATGTTGTTAAATCATTTTGATAAACTTTGGCTTTGGGAACTAGAAGAATCAGGAACATTTCTTGGAAGGAAGCATGTCTTCTGGAAGAACTTGGAAAAAGTTCCCGGAAAGAAGTATCTCTTCCAGAAGAACTTGAAAAAAGTTTCAAGGAGGAAGTGATGTTTCCCAAAAAAATTTGGGAAGATTTTTGCAGAAGGGTTTAGGGTTTAGGGTTTTACTACAGAGTTTACGAAAGAATTTCTATAGATTAAAAATCTCAAGTTATTCCATTAGTAATAAATTTCTTAGAAAAATTTTAAGCTGAAAAGTTTGATATCTTCTTGTATCTCAAAAGTTATGGTTTGATTACCCGTGTAGAAAAATCAGACATTTTTTGGATAGTGTGTTTCGCACATTTGATCAAGTGTGTTAGAGATTTATATAGTAATGGATCGTGAATCTTTCAAATGGACTACTGTAGACACTTAAATTTTGATAAATATTGATTATTTATCAATATTAGTATATTTGAATATATTTGAAATATTTTGGATAATATTGATATTATCTAATTTATTAATTAGATAATAATAAAAGAGTTTGAGCTTATCAAAACTCTCTATCCTACAGCTATAAATAGGGCCTTTCATTCTATGTAATCACAAATCCTAGGAAGAATCATGTAAACATCTAGAAATATATATTATTCAGAGATCACAATGAAAATGTGATCCTGAAAGTAAAAGCCCCTCCTCCAATCCAATCATGCATGTTGATCCAAACCTTCATTGAAGATCAAGCCATTTGAACCCGGATGCCCTTCAAGAAGAACAAACTATATATACAAGCCCTTCTTTGAAGATCAAGCCACTTGAAACCCGGAGGCCCTTCAATGGTGGAGTGTTCAAGGCACCAATTGAAGAATCAGAGGATATCCAGAGACATGTACCCACACCGCATTGATACTTGATATGTAAACCAGAACTTTGAATTTCTAAATATATATTCAATTTTCTTTGTTCACAACTACCATGAAAACATAAATAATATTTGGGTGTTGTGTTATTATAAATATTGAATTAATACCCAAAATGGTTATCGACTATAATGGTTTTTTTCAATTTCGTCGTATACGACTTTTGTGACCTAATGTAGTCCTAAACTTTTGTATTTTTGCTTAATTTAGTCCTCCGTTTGTTATTCCGTCCATTAAGTGTTAAATAGGGAGACAATTTTCAGTAATTTCAATATTGACATCTCTTACTCTTAGAGTTGTGAAATGTGAAATCGCTCTTCCTTTTATGAATTACTCCCAAACTTACGAATATAACGTTTGATTGTAATTTGTAAAAGAAAGAGGTTGGGATTTCACACTTCGAATAGCTTAGAATAAAGAGATGCCAATATTAAGATTACTAAATTGTCCCTTTATTTAACACCAATTTGACGGAATAACAAACAGAGGACTAAATTGAGAAAAACACAAAAGTCTGGGACTACATTAGATCACCAAAGTCGTTGAGGACGAAATTGAGAAAAATAACTA